CCGCTCCAGGTGGCACGCACCACTCGGCCAGGTGATAGTGTGCGCGAAGCTTTCGGGGCTGGACAGAACCCCCAATAGTGACACGTCGATTAGTGAATTGTCCGTTTTCGGTTATCGAGAGGGCGCCGTGGCCGTCAGTTTCCAGGCTTTCGCCCGCCAGATTTGGGCCCGAGGTCGTTTTCACTAAACCACGTTTTGCTAAAGGGGGTTCTGTCCATCCCCGAAGCTTGCTGGTTGAGAACTGGCAACTCATTTAGCCGGCCAGGTTATCCGATCCTCATCTCTTGTGGTGTCTGTGTAATGGCATGCCCCCATTCCTGACAACCTTATCGAGTATGTTGGCACCCACTTTGAGTGGTATTCTTCATTTCAAGCATGATTCGACCCCAGGACCCGACGGGACACCGTACGCAGCGTGGAAAGTTAGTGGTGCGATTGGTTTCCAGGTGCAGTGGAAGGTTTATGAGCATCTCCTTGATGAAGGTATGTGCCCTCTTGGTTCCAGCACGTGTCGTGTCGTTTTTCTCCCCAAATATGAACTTGGTGCTCCCGATGAGTCGACCAGGACTGTGTTTGCACTCGGCCAGTGTCGCTCGCCAACACAGACGGCGCAGTGATCAGGTCGTGCATTGGATATATACACAATGCTGTAGCCGCTGATCATAAATTCACCCAGCGCAGAGGGGGTTCATTAAGGGAAGGCAACTACCCGCTAACATAGTTGAGATGGATTTGCAGCTGCTCGGAAGACATGCAATGGGTAACTGTAGGAAGAGTGGCGCGTGCCTTTTTGATATTTCGGCGGCATTCCCCAGTCAACCACTAGTTCCTCTGGGAGGTGCTGCAGGAGCTTAACTTTCCCAGGTTCATTGTTCGGGCTCTCCAGCCGCTCTATTCTGACTTGGTGATGGCAGTTTCGTTTAGATGTTGGGGCGTTTTTTATCATTCCCATCCCGAGGGGGATTCAACATGGATGCACCTTGTCTGGTGGTTTCTTCGTTCTCAGCTTCGACCCTATCGTTAGGCAGGTCGTGAAGATTCAGGACAGTACCAATGTATTACGGCCGCGGTTGCGGACGATCTGACTCTCACTGCCCAAGACCTCGTCGTGGCGCATCCGAAAGTGCTCCGTATTCTGATTAAGGCTGGTGGTGTTTTGTGGTTCGTTGACAATTTGTGGAAACAAGCGTCACCAGCATCCTTAACGGCTTGCTATTCGCTATCGCTAGAACAGTCTTCAAGGAAGCGGACATTAACATTCGGAGCCTGATGGGTCCCTCAAAACGGGAAATATATGAGCGCATGTCTATTCTTATATGTTTATTACCCGGACCCCCCCCCCCCCACCCATCCCCCCACCCCTAAACCGGACCTCCCCCCCCGGCGGCCCCCTGGACGCCTTTGGAAAAGGTCCGCTGGGATTTCGGGGCCTCCCAGGGCGCCTTGCCGGGCCTTGCGAGCAGATTCAAGGCGATCAGAGGGGGCATCGGAGAGGCGCAAGAGAGATCCAAGACAGCACAAGAGCGCCCCAAGAGGAACCTCGACGGTCTGAAGATGGCCCAAGAGGCCCCCAAAACGCCCCAAGAGCCCGTTAACAGAGCCCCGAAGGAGCAAAATGTCGCCCCATTCTTTAAGGAAATGCCCGCTTTTTTTGGGGGGGTCTTCGCAGCGTCTAAGACGACCCGATGGGCCCCCGATATCGCCCCAAGACGGCCCAAGAGGCCCTTGAAGACGGCCCAAGAGGGCCCCAAGCCTGCCCCAGAGAGCCCCGAGACCGCCCACAAGAAGCCCAAGATGCCTCCACAAGGCTCCCGAGTGAGACCCACGAAAGCCATGGGAGCTCCCCAAGAAGGCCATTGGAGGCCCGGCCCCCAAGAGGGCCCTAGATAGCTTCAGAAGACCTCTGGAGGGCCCCAGCTCCCCAAGACGGCCCAAGAAGGTCCCAGGACGGCCCAGGAGGGCCCCAGACGGCCCAAAAGAGATACAACATGCCCAGACGGCGTTCTCCGACGAAGTACATCGAGCTGACCCGACGATCTTGGTTCCACGCTTGAGGCTCTTCCTCGATCGAGAGAGACAGGCAATGGATCTAGATTCGAAGTTCGACGATCGAAGATTTCCTGAGTGCCTGGAGGCATTCAGGAAGCGACCGAAAATCGATTTGTTCGGAGCTACTGCGGTTTCTTCTGCGTGACATGGGAACGCTCCTTACTTCCTCATAGGACCTTCGCGCGTGAAAAATCAGCATTCCTTCCCCACTCCTGCGCACAAGCGTGCAAGCGCACCGGGCGAACGCGGTGTCAACAGGTACCAGGGATATCAGAAAAATGAGCCGGTCGCCCGCCCAGGCCTCGAGGTCCCCCTTTGTTGAAGCAAGCGATAATTTATTGTTTTGCCGAGGAGCGTCCAGAACAAGGCGCATGGCGCGAAGTGCCAATGCAGTCTTGTATATACATATGTGTATACATACATACACTTATATATATATATATACATATGT